AGCCCTGCACAGCCAGGCAGCACACATTTTCACACAGGCCTGTATGCAGGAGTCAGAGATCAGTCCTTGAACTATTTGCAAGCCACCACTGCAACATAGTCTTTGTTGGAGAGCTAGCCAGCATCTCCCAGTGTAAATTACCCTAAATTAACTTCTCTTCTTTCACCCCGCACTCTGGAGATATCCCTGAACAAGGGATCCTGTGCCTGTTGCTTTCAAAAATGGCCAGTCCCAAGTAGGTGGTGAATCTTGATTCTCACCAGAGTAATCCTTCTCCTATCCGCCCAGGGGGTGCAGGGGTACTTATTCAGATCCTCTCCTGCACCAATGATGGGTTGTTGGCTGCTACCAGGCCTTCTAGCTGGGCTGCTCATTCCCTGCACTACAGGAGATCCTTGCTTTTGGAGCCAGTGAAGCTCTGAGCTTTCCTCCTTTTCAGCTCCACTGACTGTATGTGAGCCCCTCTCTCCATCTGGGCCCCTCCCAGGCTCCTGCCTTCACCCTCACATTTTCCTCCCTGTCTTCCACCAGAACTCTGTCCCAGCTGAGCAGGCTCAATTACTTTTAAGGGCTGTTCTGGCCCCTTGCAAAGCCTCCTGTTGGTGATTGGCCAGGATCCCTTAAGAGCACAAGCCAGCCACTCTTCAGATCCACCCATTGATTCTAGACCTTTCTCCAAAGTTCTAGAGCAGGGGGAAATTCCAGAGGGGCTGGCCTGCAGAGCCTCTCAGCTCTGACCAAAGTTTGACCCCTGCTAGCAATCATGCAAGGCTGCTACTCAGCCTTCCTAGCAAACAATCAGGCTTTTAGCTCCCCCTAGCTGACTAGGAGGGTGCTACATACAGAACTGGACTAGTGTACCCTCAATGGCAGTAGAGCTTGCTGGTTGCTGTAGTACCAAGTGAGAAGCCCTGTACTTACCAAAAACACGTATCAGAGCATGTGTTTCTGGTAAGTAAGTGCATACCAGAGCATTCAGCTGGGATATTTTCTCTCCCAAATGGCAGCTTGAATCTGCAATTTTCAGACATGTTCTGTGCACTTACAAAAATGCAAATAGAAAAAAGATCCACAATTATGGCCTCCAGCGGCCTATACTTGAGAGTGGAATTAAAAGCATGGAGTTATCATAATGAGAGAATGTGATCACATGCCATATTGCATAAGCTGAAGAATGTATGTGTGTAATCACTGCACTGGATGATGGGCAAATATATTTTCTTCTTTTTTTCCAAATGCACATTATTTGTTACTTCATGAGTTAGCACTGGCTTTCATATAACTGTGTAGAAACCTATGTTAGTGTAGTGTTTGTGCACAAGAACTGAAGAATAGCACACAAAGTCTTGGGTGAATTGCTGTACCCAAACTAAATTTTTATCATTTTTTTTAGACAAATAGAGCTTTCTTTTGGTGGTATTGAATCACCACTGGGTGTTTTATTTTTTGCTAAACAAATAAAAAAAGACCCAAAATGTTGAAAATAATTTCTTAGTTCTCTGTTATAAAGTTTTGTAAATAAGTAATTTTTCTTCTTCACTGATGGGCACTGATAGGCTGCGCTGATGAGGAGACACTGATGGGCACTGATAGGCTGTACTAATATGTGGCACTGATGAGGCTGAACTGATAGGCAGCACTGATGGGCACTGATAGGCAGCACTGATGGATACTGATAGGCACTGTTAGGCAGCACTGCACTGTGGGCAGCACTGATGGGCACTGGTAGGCTGCACTGATGGGCACTGTTACATGGCACTGATGGGCACTGATAGGTGGCACTGATATGCAGCACTGATGGGCACTAATAGGTGGCATTGATGGGCACTGATTCAACTGATGGGCATTAGTGGGAACTGATTCAGCTGATGGGCACTGATGGTCACTGATTCAAATGGCGGGCACTGATTGCCAGCATACATGGGCACTGATGGGCACTATTGGCCGCACTGATGGGGCTACACTGATCATCAGGTACTGATGATCAGCGCCCTGATGATCAGTATAGCTGTCCCCCTGCGAAATGTTGCTTACCTGCTCTTGGACTGCCGATAACCGGCATTTCCTATTTACCCTGTGATCAGCTGTGATTGGACACAGCTGGTCACATGGTAAAAGCAGCTGTGATTGACCCGTTCTTTAGTCATGCGATTAACTGTGTCTGAAGTACACAGCAATCACAGATCATGAGCAATGCATGCCCCAGGGGGCTCGTGGGGGCGTGGTTCTGGGAGGATGTCCATGGACGCCCTCCCAGAACTAGCCACCTGCGCTGTAGCCATCTTTTGGCTATAGCGCGGTCGGGAACTGGTTAATATACATCAGCTGTTTTGGTCAGTATACATCATTCTCCATCTTTAAGCCCTGATTAAGGTGGCACTTTTGAAACCTTTTGAAACCTCTGAAACATGCTGGTTCCATCTTTTATCCTAATTTATTTTTAAATAAATGCTCAAACTAAGTTGTGTGACAACCTACTCTAACCATTGGGAGTTATGCTGTGTTTGTGCCTGCCCCTCCATTGACATTGGTGACATTCTGGGTGGGAGGCATTGCCATAAATAATCAGTGATTTTTCTTCTATATGTTTACTGTTTGTATTTTGAGCTTAACATTGTATTGTTACAGGTTTGACCACTTGACCTCCAGAAGGTTTTACCCCCTTCATGATCAGACCATTTTTGTTTGCTTTTCTGCACTGTGCTACTTTAACTGGCAATTGCGCATGCAACAGTGTAAGCAAATGAAATGTATATAATTTTTTTCACACCAATATTATTATTATACAGGATTTATATAGTGCCAACAGTTAGCTCAACGCTTTAAAATATAACGGGAGACAATACAGCAGCAGTACAGTTCAATACAAGAGGGGTGGGAGGGCCTGCTCCTTGGAGCTTACAGTCTAGGAGATAGAGCTTTCTTTTGGTGGTATTTGATCACCACTGGGTTTTTAATTTGTTATTATATAAATTAAAAAAAAATTCTGAAAAGAAAAATTATATTTTTTACTTTCTGTTATAAAACATATCCAATAAAAAATAAAAAATTAAATTTCTTCATAAACTTAGGACAAAATGTATTCTGCTACACACCTTTGGTAAAAACAATCCCAATATGTGCATAGTAATTGGTCTGTGTGATGATCATTGTAACAGCAATGTTTTGAACTGTTATGAATGGATTACATTCATAACAACAGCTGTGATTACTAGTGATCTGTACTTGGCTACAGCTAATCACATGGTACAGGGTGCTGTGCTGTGATTGTCCCATGTGCACTGTGATAGCTGTGGGCCAATCACAGCATTACTGTAAAGGAAACAACAGCTTTGTTGACATTTTGATCATGTGTTCGCATAGCGATTAGGGGATGCAGCGGTCACGGGAGTGGCATTCTGCATGACCTAAGTCAGAGCAGACTGGATCACATTCATGTATGTGATCCAACCTGCACGTGCTGCCTGCCCACAGTAAATACAGTATACTGTGGGAGGGCATCAAGTGTAAAGGATAAGTTGACTTTTAAAAAAAAAATAAATAAATAAATGCATTTTTTTTGCAGGTAAAAAAAAGTGTGTTTTTTTTTGTTTGTTTTTTTAGGAGCCTGTAAAGCAATGCATCTGTGATCAGCAGGTTGCTGGTGCTATCTCGGGGCTCTTGCAGATTGTCAGGATATCTGTCTGCTCATACCTTGTACCATAGAGTGCTCACTAGCGTCCTGGTAGTTCATTGACAACTACAAGCTGACAGCCACAAAGGATATTGGGATTTGTAGTTCATTCACTCAGTTGTTATTCATTGATTTAATTGAAAAGGGCATAAAAAGGATCTTAGGACAGTGTTGTACATGCACTTACATTATGTTTATTTTAAACACAGAGGTTTTTTTTTTTTTTTCTTGAATATGTTAATACAAGTTTACAGAACTGTGGAACAAACATGAATGAAACCATAGCATTTTACTTATCTGCAAAATATATATATATATATATATATATATATTTTTTTTTTTTTTTTGAATAGGTTATAACAGCACAAAAGGGAAGGGGCACACTGTGTTAATGAGGGAGTGTCAGTTATGACAACCATTCCAAAGACCTCTGGGGTCTCTGGAATGGTTGACCTGTCTGCCTCCTGTAGCTATTCTCCAACTGTTCTCTGGTCCGCACACCCCAGAGTACTGTTTATTTTCCATTTCATGTCTGGAGCTTTCATTGCAAACTGATCTGATGAATGTGCTACAGAACACGTAACAGTAATTTAGCAGTGTATCACTGGCTAAGTAGGTTGAACACCAAATATCTGAAAAAGAAATGTAGGGCATTTGAGTATTAAAGACTTCTTTCGCTAGATTCATTTTAATCCTTTGTATTTGAAAAGATTGCAGTGGTCAGCACAGTATTATGTTTGTTTGCACTATTAATCAGACTGTTCATTCCAGTAGTTTTCCAGGACGTTTTTTTTTCTTCTTATATTGGTGCTTGTCACATTCAAATTAAACCATACACAGGTTCATAAGTCATTCACATTAGACCATACATCATTTTGGTTTGGCCTTGCTTTCTTGACATGTTTGTTGCTGGTTGGCCAGCTGGTATGTTTATTAATGAAAATATTTCCATAGTGATTCATTTATAAAGCCCTATAAATTAGATTCTTGAAAACCTGTATCCCTACATAGTGTTCTATACACCTCTATAGGCACATTTACAGTTAACCACAGCCCAGATTGTGCAATGCATAAAGAAGGCCTGATTTTGATAGAGCATCAAGTGAGGTAAAGTGCTATACAATGAGCTTTAAGTTGTTTCACAAGTGTTTGTATTTTTTTACTTCTTATTTTAGTTCAGTCTAGTACATGGGCAGGCTCATTTCCCATTGGACTTAAATTCAGGTGCCCTGCTGTTGAGATGTGCTGTAACATTGTCCATGTGTCCATATTTACCATGAAAGTGTGGAATATATATACTTTCCATAGTTATGTTTTATATTCCAGTCAGAGGCGAACTGACAACTCAGGGGGCCCCCGGGCAATAGGGGATCATGGGGCCCCTGTTTCCTTGCCCACAATCAAAGCACACCCAAAAAAGCCTATAAAAGGTACCAGGGGCCTTTCATGGGGCCCCCTACAGACCCTGGGCCCTCGGGCAGTGCCCGAGTGCTCGAATGGTCAGTCCGCCCCTAATTCCAGTGCATCTTTTGCTACCTGACTTGAAGAGGGTGGTTAGACACCCATAGTTATAATATGCTACTGATCTTGTGAAATGGGTTATAATGAAGTTGGACAAGAAGCAGCACAATCTTAAATAGCGTAAGGGGTTATTTAGTTAGGGCGGTACAGATGTGAAACTCCCTTCCACGGTTGGTGTCAGCTGGAGGGAGGGCTGTAGATACCTTAAAAAAAATTTTTAGATGTGTTTCTTAGTGTACACAATGTCCAAGTATATGGAAAACAGTAGACATACACACATTCTCAGGTAGAAGTGGAGGAACTGGTGTCCATTAATCCTTACCAACTATGCAACTATATGATCTGTGAACTGTGCTGATTTGGTGTTTGGCAAAGCACACTATAGGAGCTCATGGCAACTCTTCAGACAATTTATAGAGTTGGTAGAATTGCCATGTTTCCTGAGATTCACATTCAGGGGCCATATCACTGACAACAATAGTTATTCCATGCTATATTTACATGTTTTTAGAAATATTGCATGCACTAATAAGAGATAATAGAAAAATCAGTTCATCAAATTTGCATGGTATAGGTGATTGATCTTGCTCACTGACCCATTGCAGATGTACTGCTACAGGGCGGCTTCGCTGGGCAAAATCAAGTAAATACAGTATACATGATTTTGCATTTCCGGGTAGGGGAAGCTGCTATCGGCTCCTGAGGATGTCAATCACCGGGTCCTTCCTGGCAATTTTCGTCCAGGACCTGGTGATCATCGGCGAAGCTGAGAGGGGAGAGATCTGTGTGTAAACAACTCAGATCTCTCTTGTCAGCATGGACGTACTGCTTTCTATCTCTCTGCACAGCAGAGAGATAGAAAGCAGCAGGTCTGCTTAGTAAAACACAACACAGTACACAATAAAATCACTCCCTAACACACAGTTAACCCTTTAATCACCCAAGGTGTTAACCCCTTCCTGCCCAGTGTCATTAGTCCAGTGTCAGTGCTTTTTATTAGCACAGATCACTGTATTAGTGTCACTGGGGATGTCATTGGCAGTTAGTCAGTTCTCACCCAGTGTCAGAATGCCCCCGCATTATTAGTATTATTATTATTATTAGTATAAAAAAAATAAATAAAAATTCCAGTATATATACTGCCATTTGTAGATGCTATAACTTTCATGTAAGCCAATTAATATACACTTATTTTTTTTTTTTGTTTTAGCAAAAACATGTAGCTGAATACATTTTGGCATACATTTATGACAACATTTTATTTTTAAAAAATGGCCTGGTCAGGAAGGGGGGGTAAATGTTTTGGAGGGTAAGTGGTTAAAGAATTTACAAGGGGAATTCTGTGATGGCCAGTACGTTATAAGAAAACAATCTATCAGTGTGGTAATAATATGCTCTTAGCTCAGGAATGTAAATACTTTGTAACTTTGCACTAGAGGGGGATAGTTCTGTAAATGAAGGCACACTAGAATGTGATCATAGTTCCACAATATTTCTGTGTGTGTTCATTCACAATCCCCCTCTAGTCCACTGAAGAAAAAATTGTGATTAAAAACATAAAACACTAAATGTCAGCACTAATTACCACAAAACAAGTATTTAACACATTCATTAAATAATGCATGTTTTTTTTTCTTTTTTATTGACTCATTTTGTTATAAATACCATATAAGCTATTTTAAAGTTATTCTAAGGTAAAGTTTTTATTTTTGTATCCATAAGACACACATAGCGAGGCTCGGCACCCCCCCCCCCCCCTTCACTCCTTACTCACTGGCTGTGATTGACAGCAGCAGGAGCCACTGACCAATAAGTAAGGTCAGAGCCAATAAGGAGAAAGAGACCTGAGAGAGCCTCCTCTCTTCTGCACATCGCTGGATCAACCAATATGCAGAGAAACAGGGATTTTTAAGGTGTTTAAAAAGAATGTTAAACATTCAGTGTTATAATAAAATCAGTCAAAGTTTTATTTGTTACAATATATCACATGAAAAGACTACATCACATTTGTAGTTGTAAAAGTTTAAAACCAAGGCATTCCATGTGGCCCAAAATTCACAGTGCAACAACTCCCACTTGACATGTTTTGCCAATTTCTTGGCTTCTTCAGGAGATTTACAGATTATTGCATATAATTGCACAGGTGTATTTTTATTCAAAGGAGTGTGTAACAAAGCAAACATCCACTCTCTTATCTCCAAGAGGGTCCAAATGAGCCAAAAGAGGGAAAGGAAGCTGCCACCCACCAATGCTTACCTTCCTGCTAACAATCACATCAACTCCCCTAAAAGATGAATAGGAAAATCATGGACTCAAAGGCAACCCCACTCGCCTTAAACAATCCAAGGCTTATATCACCAAATAATTGCCCAGATGGACAGAAGGGAAGATAAGACCAAGCACCTGTATAGTCCCCATTTATAAGGATAATTGCAAAGAAAGTAGTTCTGATAGGTCTGCAGGAACTGGATCAAGATTGGGCTCAGGTAAGTATTTAGTGAGACTGAGCAGGACCTGTTTGCAGAAGGTTTTTTACCTTTATGCATAGTATAAGGTAAAAAAAAAACTTCTGCCTTTAGAACCACTTTAATGCAAAAACTAATGTTGTATTTATTGCTTAGTTAATTGACCCCCCAGAGTCTTGTATGAATAATTTTATTTAAATAATAAATGCACCTACAAATTTTGGTGATCTCTATCGTCCCTGTGCTGTGCATGGTTCTCTCCTTGATTCTCTTTTCATTGATTTTACATAGCTTTGTGTTTTTCAATAGTTTCTTATCTTACTCACACCCCACTTTCAAAGCTTCTTATTTCCTATCACTAACTAGCAATTTTGTGATGAAATCTAGATCAAATTTGTAGAATAAAAATCCAAATGTGTTTTAGAATCTTGTTAAAGGGATTTTTAGCCATGAGGTGTGATAGTGTTTCTTGGTCCACTGGCCAAATGTAGTTGAAATCACAGCAAGCTGCCAAGGCAAATTCCTTTTGAAAGGCTGATAACAAATTAACTATAGAAGAGATTTCATTACTGTACACCATCCATTTGAACTGTACAATACATTGCCATGATTTGATGAAACTACATTAAAAATGCAGTTGTTTAAACTGATCTAAATTGTATTTGCAACTGATTTCAGTTGTTGTGTTTTATTGGGTTTGCCAATAGTCTTTTATGTCATTTGTACTGGTAGATAACCACAATTTTACTTCATCCTTAATTAATGTAATTACAGTAGAAAAACATTGCACAGATGTTAGCATACTTGTATTATAAGTGATTCCTTAATGCTTTTGACTTCTGTGAATAATGGACTTGCCTGTAAACTGGCACATCATGCTTGAGGCTATAGTTTAATCTGCTTATATTTTGTCGTCCTTGGTTCCTACTTCCTCCTGTCATCCACATGCTAATGAAACTTTTAGATAATACCTTTTTGTTTTTATTATATACTGTAATTTATATTCAGTCATGTCATCACAGAGACTCTGTGCTACTCTATACAATGCAGACAGATCATGGCTTGTCAAAGGGACCAGCAGGGTGCTGGACATAGCTTCCCATCACCTTTGTTTAGTACTTCTCTCAAAAGCCCCCAGCTCTGAATGCAAGCAGAGGACTGACTCTTGAGAAAAGTTATGCAAATATAAAATGCCCTGACAGCTGAAGGCATTGCTAGGCTGGCTGCATTTGCATGCAGACTATCCTAGGGATGTCCACATATTATGCTGAGCCTCCATATTTAAAAGGACTGAAGTCCAAAGAATGAAAGAGGCAGGCCAGGGAGAGTAAGCTTGGGAAAATGGGCTAAATGACAATGGGTATTCTACAGCAAGGCAGGCTTTGTCTCACGTGCTGCAGTTTCTATTGAACACCATGAGAAAACTCACAGTATGCAGCAGGGGCGGACTGACAACTCATGGGGCCCCCGGGCAATAGGAAATCATGGGCCCCTGTGTCCTTGCCCAAACTCAAAAAAGCCTATGAAAAAAGGTACCAGGGGCATCTCATGGGACCCCCTACTGACCCAGGGCCCTCGGGCAGTGCCCGAGTTTCCAAATGGTCAGTCCGCCCCTGGTGTGCAGTGAAATCAGAGTAAACAATTTTAGTATATAGTATAGGAGCCTGTATGACTGTGTGGAGTTCAGCTTTAAAGCAAACGTGTCATTATCAAATGATTATAACTTTCTACTTCTGTACATGCTAGCATTGACATCACCACTAGCTCCACCCAATTGTTTACTACTGACTGGCAAATGTCAGATTGCTGCTAGTGCTCGTCGGGTGCAGATGGGTCGGCGAGCATTGGGTTTCTTTTTTATTCTGGCAAGTCTGCGTCATCGTGACAACGCTGGATGTCATAATTGACGATGGAACCATTCTTTTGGCTTTTTTTTAAATGAAGGACTTGTCAAAAACTGTTGTTTTGTTTTTTGTTCAATAAAGGAATTTTTTTCAAACGTCTGGCATCTTTATTTTTTACTAAATGTAACCCTTTAGTGAATGGGTAGGGGTACAAGTACCACTTACTCATTCACAAGGGGGTGGCAGCGTTAGGGTGCCACCTTATTTAAAGGGGTACCCTGATGCTAATGAGCTTCCCTGCCCGCATACCGCCACAACCACCAGGCCAGGGTTGTGGTGAAGAGGTCCTTGTCCACATCGGCATGGGGACACTGTTCCAATGCACTTTCAACAGCTCATTGAGCTACTTACTTAGGGGTTCGGGGAAGCAGTATTGAGAGAGCATGAGTCAGCAACATTGAACGTTGTAAACTGCAAGTTATGGGTTAGGAATTTTACCAAATAGTTTACTGGGGAATGTTTATATTATGGTGTTCAATGTGTTAAACTAAACATTACTGGGGTTTAATGCTATTCTAGGTCCCTAAAGTGATACTAAACATATACTGTTTATTTTACAGTGTCCCTTCTCTTTCTATATATTGATGATGGCACTGTAACTATTTTAATTAAAAGAAAAGCTAAGTACCTTTTTCCTAATCAATACACAGCTGTTACATGACCCAGCTCTTTTCCAGCTTGTCTGCAGGGAAACATCAGCAGGAGGAGCTTCAAGTCCTCTGCTGCTGGTCACAAGTTAAAAAAAAACAGCCTTTGGGATATATGGAAAAATAAATAATTACTATCAATAAACTGTTTTAAATTGTTATACAAAAAACATATATATATATATATATATATATATATATATATATATTTATATTTGAAATTAAATCTTTATTATTTTTTTTGGAAATTACATGGTGTGGGTGGATTTCTCTCAGTCACAGGCTGTGTCACACCACTCCAGCCTGTGTCTTAGAATAACATGCAGGTGAAGACTCCATCAATCAAGACATAGTATCCCACCCCCATTGTGTTTAGCTGTTTAGTGGAATGCTCAGAGTAGAAACTCACAGAAAACTGAGCATGTGCAGTAGTTGCCAGCACTGCTTTGGAAAATCCCCTGCCGTATTTGGGACATAATGAAAAAGGGGGAGATAAAGAACAGCAGGATCAACCAGTTTTTTTTTGCAGAATACAGAAAATGAGTCCTATAGTGACTGAGTATGAACAGCATGTAATACAGCATGTATTAATATTTTTTTAAGATGTGGGTTTAGTGACAATTTTGGATGCTGTTAAAATAAAATGCACATAAACATAACGTGTTAAAAAGCATGTCAAAGCACATCGACTCAAGTGCATGTAGCAAGTGGTGTGAATCAAACTGAAAGCTTTGCAGAAGCTGTACACATCTGAAGCAAATGGTATTTCTTTGTGCCAGGACACCATAGATAATTGTATTTTCTTGGTGTAGCCATTTTGAACAAATTGTACTCTGTAAGAGACCGACTAGAAACATATACTTTCTATATTGTTGTACTGATCTGTCTCATAGATTAACTTAAACTGAAAGCTACATGTGATGACCAGGGGTGGACTGACCATTTGGAAACTCGGGCACTGCCTGAGGGCCTGGGGGGCCAGTAGGGGGCCCCATGAGATGCCCCTGGTACCTTTTTCATAGGCTTTTTTGAGTTTGGGCAAGGACACAGGGGCCCCATAATCCCCTATTGCCCGAGGGCCCCATGAGTTGTCAGTCCGCCCCTGGTGATGACTATGTTGTAGTAGTGTAATCTTTGCACATTAATTTTAATATGTTAGACTTTATTTACCTAGTTGGGTGTTTGTCTTATAGCTGCACCCATGTTGAGTCATACTTTACTGCACAGTATGTATGAATTGTAGAATTTAAAAACGGAACTTCACCCAAAAGGGAAGTTACATTTTTCCACCTCCTCTTACACATTTTTTTTGGGGGGTGGGGCTAGTACCTAGTTTTGGCAGGTACCCTCTCCCCTTAGGCAATCCAAGCAGCCTTCTGGGACCCATGACAGGTTCTAGGAGGCTTCAGGACCATTCACAAAGCGCAGTGCAGCTCGGGCATGCACAGTTGGAAGCCAGCTGTGAAGCCACAAGGTGTCAAAACCAGCTTCCCAAAGTAAACATGCCAGAAACGGGGAACCAAAGACCGGCAAATAACCGATTCAGGTGAGGACAGTGCTGGATCCCTGGACAGGTAAGTGTACTTTTATTAAAAGTCAACAGCTACAGTACTTGTAGCTACTGACTTTTTTTTTTTTGGTGGTGGGAGGGGGTGAGATGGAGATCCACTTTAACAACCAGTGCTTGAGACCAAAAATATAAACAAATTACAAAACTATATAGTGCAATGTATAAATAAAATTGACACAAATATTGTAGTAAGCAAGATATGCAATCAGTAATATAGTGAATCCAGTGTACATATCAGTCATTAATTGTTCATCTAATAAAATATAAAGTTTGTAATCCTTAGCAATATGACAGTGTTTCTACCTCCATGCTCAATATTTCCAGGATAGGTAAAATGCTGGATAGTTATGACCCCTTATATAAAAGTGAGTCATACAATTCTTTCCATACAATTTTATATGTGGCAGGATATCCAGGGTCTCCGCCTTTCCACCAAGCATGGATAAGGGCATAGACAGATCAACAGAACGTGCTCCAACTGCACTCATCCACTTCCACTCAGTGTAGCATTGATATCATGACATAAACAACTTCATAGTGTAGTATGTAACAAAAAAACTTTTTATAAGTTACATATAATGATCTACTCACAAAAACAACAATTAAAGCAACTTAACAACTCTCAACTCACTATTTATGACCCACTGATTATCAGCAAGTCAAAGGTGCACACTTCACATAAATTTAGCAACATGTCCAATTCATTCCCCTCTTCCCTGGGGCATTCCTCATACATAAAGGATCTCAATAACCTCCACCCATCCACTCAAAGCTGGCATTAAAACATAAACAGGCTCATGGTGTATTATGTCTTAATATCCAAAATATCAATTCATGAAGTATTATACTCATATACCAATCATCCTATAACCACCCCTAAGCCCCTATATAACGCTCAACTCCACTCTCCAGGCCCAATCACCCTTACACCCTTACACTTGTCCACAGACCAGGATCCATGCCAGAGTAACTCCTGCCCAAGGGCGGACTGACCATATCTAAACTCGGGCACTGCCCGAGGGCCCAGGGTCAGTAGGGGGCCCCATGAGATGCCCCTGGTACCTTTTTCATAGGCTTTTTTGAGTTTGGGCAAGGATACAGGGGCCCCATGATCCCCTATTGCCTGGGGGTCCCATGCATTGTCAGTCCGCCCCTGCTCCTGCCCCCTATTTCCTCCACCATTCAGAGACACACATCGCCATAGTATAACCCATTTTAAACATATTTATTGTAAAATTGTACTTACATACGTAGATAAAAACAGACAAATCTCCTTTAAAATCGCACTTCCAGGTGCGTGTAACATCACTTCCCCTCAATGCATTTCTTCATTCGACTTTCTCTAGAAAGTGTTTTATGACTCTTTTTATATAGGGGTCATAATTATCTGGTAAGCCTTTTACTTATCCAGGAAATATAGAGATGGAAATACTATTAGATTGTCTGTTAAGGAAAACAAACATTCTATTTTATATAGTGGACAATTACTTGCTGATAGAGTATTTACACTGGGTTCACTACATTTCTGACTGTATATATTGCACTAATACAGTGGTTCTCAACCTTTCTAATGCTGCGACCCTTTAATACAGTTCCTCATGTTGTGGGAACCCCCAACCATAAAATTATTTTCGTTGCTACTTCATAACTACAGCAGCTCTTCTCATTCCCGCCATACAAGGTGTCACACCTCCCCCATCCCCACCACACAGAGCAGCCAGCTCTCTTCACACACGGCCCGCTCTCACCTCCACCATCATGGATCCGCTCTCCCCCTCCTCCTCCACCCAGCCCCCAGCTAGTCGGCTCCTTGACAGAGGCCACGCCCAATCTGAGGACGTCAAAACTTTTTCACTGGCGCTTCCCATTGACACATCACCTCGTCTGGTTGTTCAAGCTCAATCCTGACAAGCCCTGCCCCGCATTTAGAGCTGGGGATGATGTCGCCGCTCAGCGATGATTGGGTGAGCAGTGCAGACAATGGGCGTGGCGGATGTTGTGGGAGATGATAGGCTGGGGCAGAGAGGTCAGGTGTCATCACTGCTGACTGTTCTCTTACTTGTATGTGGGCGTATCCGCATGTGGGCGGACCCGCCTGGAGACGGATAGAGGAGCAGTGTCTCGGTTCCTAAAACCAAATCGGAAATATGTGTTTTCCAATGGTCTTAGGCGACCCCTGTGAAAGGGTCGTTCGACCCCCAAAGGGGTCGTGACCCACAGGTTGAGAACCGCTGCACTAATATATTTGTGTCACTATTAATTATACTTTGTACTATATAGTTTTTATAATTTTTTTTTTATATTTTTGGTCACACGTGCTAGTTGTTAAATTCTGTTAGTCTTTAACACCAGAGGGTATTATTGTATTACCAGAAAACTGGGAGTGTATAGTTTTTTTTCCTTTTGCTAAATGCAGGAGATAAAAATATATCTTTTTAGTATATGCACTGTATGTTGTAAGATTTGTTCTATACAAAGGTTATACCTGTGTCTTCATTACAGCTTGCATAATTAGATCCATTTCTTTTGACAGTGTTCATTATGTTGAGGCATAACACTAAAAAACTTGAGTATGTTCTGTACTTACAGTATGACCTACTGTGACAGTATGCTTCTGCTCCTAGTAACTAAGAAAATTACAACT